TGGAGCCTATATATACACCAAAGTCCCATGCTCTTCTACAAGCTTGTCTTGGCCGATTTTTCTCATCTACATACACGTGAGAATTGCTTTGTTCGAGAGTTTGGGAGATCCGATTAAACGCTCCACCAAGTTTAATCGGAATAGGTGTTTAGGTAATCCATTATAAGGCTTTTTGGTACAATTGATTGAGCTTTCTAATACATACATATTCGGTCATTATCACCATCTGATCTCCGCCGTCCTCCACCGTGAACCACCGCCGGAGATCGTCAGTCGCCGCTGGAAGTCAGCCCAGCCCAGCCGATCGCAACCCGAGTCGTCGCACGCTGTCGCGCATCAGCCAGGCCCGACGCCAACTCCCAGCAGCGTCCGCGAGCGACGCCCGTGAGGTCTCAGCTGCACCTGCTCGTCGTCGATCTGCTGTCTGTTCGCACGCCCGTCCGCGATCTGTCACCATTCGACGTCCGCGCATCTCCAGCGCGCCTGCGCAATGCGCGCGACAGTCCGCCCGCGTCCAGGATTCCGTGTCCAGCACGCCCGCGTGCGTTCAACCCGCCAGCGCCAGTCCGCGTCCGCATAGGAGTGCTGCCCCGCGTGCACGCACACGCCCAGCGTTCACGATACGCTGCCAGCTGCCAGTACCAGCGTCCGCAACACGCACGAACGTACCTGTCAGCGACCAGCACCCGACGCGCACGACGCCCGCGATCAGCCCGCTGCCACCCGACGACCGAGACCCGTGCACCGTCCGTTCGTGGCCCGTTTGACGAGTTGATTAGAATCAACTAAAGGCCAAACCTATCCGCCTATTAGGTTGTGGTGTTCAGACGAACTTCACCAATGGTACTCTACATCGTCTCAGAGTCGGCAAAAATTTTAAAAGGTAAACATCCATATCCTAACTATAGATTCCGCTGCGTTAGGATTTATTTCGATAAAGTTCAATACTGTGCATGTTGTTTGACGTTCCTAACAGAACCCAACAGCCTTCACCCGCGCGCCCAGCTCGCTCGCCGCTCGCTGCCCGCGCGTACCTCCCATCGCCCGCGATCCGATCGCCTACCGTGCACCCGAGTACACCCAATGCTGACCGCGTGCTGACCACCCGCTCTCGCGCATCACCGCCCGATGCGCGCCTTTTGCCCGTTCGTCCATCGATCACCCCCGACCAATCTTCAGCCTCAACGACCACTTCCGTATCATTCCCCTCCTCTTCAAGACGTTTCTTGTCCTCAAGGATTAGGAAATTTAGCACATCCACGTCGCTATCTTCCTCAACGGGAAATTCACCTTGATCCTCAGTTCTCAACTTAATGCGCTTTCCTGGTCGTCCAAACTCCATCTTTCCTCGCTTATAGTCAGTCGTAATGGGTCCAAGCGTTTCCAGCCACTGTACTCCTAACACAATATCTGTTGCCTTAAGCGGTAAGGCCTAAAGATCAATTTCCAGCTCGTGATCATGTGCCATTATCGGGACCTTCTTGAATAATTGACTTCCCTGCAGCTCATGTCCATTGGCCACCTTGACACCAAACGTTTTAACTTTTGTGGGTACCAATTTCATCTTCCGGGCTATCCCTTCGTCGATAAAATTTAAACTCGATCCACTGTCCACCAGGACCTCTAGCAATATATCCTTTATCTCAGTCGTGAAAATGATCATCCTAGGACCACGCTTGCTGCACTTCACCATATGCAACTAGGACTCTTCCTGTGGCTTTTCTTCCTCTCGTTCCTCTTCAATCTCCAATAGAAAAATTTCCTTACCTTTGCACTTGTGGCCTGGCACAAATTTCTCGTTGCAAGTAAAGCACAAGCCTTTTTCTCTTCGCCTTTGTATTTCATCCTCCGTCAGCCGTCGGTAGTTGCTAGTGGTGCGTGTACCATCGCTGACTGTTGGTTTGACCTCGGCCCGTGGGGGCGTATCGTCGACCGCGACGCTCGCGCGTCGAACGTCCGTGTGCCCCTCGCTCGGTCTGGCCCTGCGCACTGCCGCGAGATGATCCTCGTGCAGTCGCGCTGCTTCCATGGTAGCCCTTGTTGACCTTGTCCTGTCCAATCGTACCTCCGCAGCCAACTCAGCCTTTAAGCCTCCTATAAACGCACCTACTAGTGCCTTTTCGGGCCAATCCCGAACCCGGCTTGCTATCCTCTCAAACTCCTTTTGATAGTCGCGTAGACTACTGGTTTGGCGGATCCTTGTCAGTGCCTCATCGTAATCAAAGTATTCGCTAGATCCAAACCTGGCAATCAGCTCCTTCTCAAAATCTCGCCATCTGATTTGCTCGCCCTTATTTCTGTAAACATGTGACACCCATTGCCACCATGTGTTAGCTACACCATCTAAATAGTAGATAGCAATTTGAACTCTTTCGGACTTGTGTACCTCATTGATCTCGAAAAATTACACGGAACGACTTAACCATGCATCCGGATCTACTCCTTCGAACGTTGGCATCGTTATCTTCGGTTTCGCACGTACGTGCTCCTCGCGATGATGCCGATGGCCATGCGTCCTGCGATCGCCGTAGTGTCGGGTAGTACGCGTCGCGCGCGTTCCCCGCGATCGTTCGTCATTGTCATCGTGACTAGACGTCGAACTGTCCGTTCCCGCCATGGTTGATCTCGATGTGCGGCTCCTCCGCATATGGTGGTTGACTCTCTCGAGCTGTCCCGCCAAGTCGTGTATCATCAACTCCAACTTTGCCATGTTTTCATTGACCACGTGTTGTCCGTTGCCAAGGGACCTCACGCTTTCCTCAAGTGCATCAAATCTCTCACGATTCGTCATGACTCTCTCTTTTTTTTAAGACTCGATAAAAAAATCAAAAAATAAATGAAAAATTTGAACAAGAATTTCGAAAATTACGACCCGAAAAGAAGAGAAATTCGGCCCCTCAACAGAAGGTAATAACCGAAAAAAAATCAAACAAAACGACTAGATGACACTCTTTTTTTTTTAAGACTCACGAAATTTTACGAAAATTAAAGAATAAAATTCGAAAAAAATTCGAACACAAAAGACTCAAAAAATCGAACAAAAAATAAAAAGAATGGGATAGGAAAAGCTCACGAACACCCAATCGATCACTCTCAATGAAAGCACTAATGATGACGGATTGTGTGTTCGTTACCCTCGACTTGTCTCGATCACGGCTTCGCCACGGCCTTGCTCTCGACGATAGGTGTGATCGACTCGGTTATTAGCCTAACCCTCTCACGATACTTGAGTTCACTCGGGTCTTAGCCTCGCTCACTCTTTTGAACTAGATCGGGTCTTAGCCTCTCTAATTCGGTTGCATGATCGAACTCTCACGAATCCTAATACACGGTTTCGAACAAACGTTCTTTTCTATTTCATCAAATCCAAGACATGAAAAACAATGAGGGATGGTCCCTATTTATAGATCCTAACTATGACTAATTCTAATCTACCTAGGAAACATATTAAAGCAATAAAATGTTAAATTCCTAAACAATCTAGATATTATTGTGTAAGAAGGAAAGTAAATATCTAGAGTCCTAAATTGACTTGATCTTGATCTTGCTTGGCTTGCACTCCAAACAATTCCAATCCATGCGCCCCAATTATTTTCGGCCGCCCTAATGTCTTGCGCGTCGCACATGCGTGCACCGCCTTAGCACTCACACTCCTCGTCGGCCTAGGTCTCTTGTGCGCCCACCTCGCACGCGCGTCCATGTGTGCGCCCAGTCCGCGTCCGGTCTCCTCGCGCGCGTGTGCGCCGCCACCCTTGCCTATGCCTACCGCGCATAGGCATGCGCCCGTGCATTCGCGCGCAATCGCGCGCCCTTCACCTCATCCGTTTTTCTCGCGCGCGTACATCCCGCTGCCCCGCACTCCTATGCCTGCGAGGTTTCGGTTGCCGCCCGCGTGGCCTTCACCCGCGCGCCCAGCTCGCCCGCCACTCGCTGCCGCGCATACCTCCCATCGCCCGCGATCCGATCGCCTACCGTGCACCCGAGTACACCCAATGCTGACCGCGTGCTGACCACCCGCTCTCGCGCATCACCGCCCGATGCGCGCCTTTCGCCCGTTCGTCCATCGATCACCCCCGACCAATCTTCAGCCTCAACGACCACTTCCTTATCACTGACTGCCGGCGCACTGCTGCCGCTGCGTGCGGGCAGCGCGGCCACGGCCGGCCCTTGCCGGCCGTCCGACAACAACTCTCGAACAATCGAACTTCAAATGGCATAACATGAACATAAAGACTTATTTAAACTGAAAACATGAATTTTTCACGTTTTAACTGAACATGGCCGTGGCGAGCGCACTGTGCGCCGCCGACGGCGGTAAGCCGTCTCTCGACCGATCACGATCTTCTCTCGGCAACACTAACTCAACTGAACATGAAATATAATTTACTGAACAAATCGACATGATATACTCGAAGGACTGAACCTAACATGCTCGTTACAAGTGCCCGGCCCGTGGTGCGCACTACGTGCGCGACCACGTCCCTCGGCCGGGTCACCGCACAACATGATCATTTCCCGAACAACTCAGGCTGAATAAACATGATATTAAATAAAAAGGCTAATTATATAACAACTACTCGAGAGATTACTCAACAACATGAACATGCTTGCTAGTTACTCGCACGCCAAACACACGAGCGAGGCGACTTAAGATGATACTATGAAATCGGCTACATGAACCTAACGTGATAGTACTAATATAAGAAAGAGATATCTCCCTTCATTACCTCTTTACTTGCTCGCTGAATTACACCCGAAGTACTTGAACCTCGTCGCGACCGGACGTGCGTGCGTGTGTGGTGCGTGCGGTGTGGTAGCTTGCTATGACTTCTTGCTTAAGGAAATTTCTCTTAATTTCTCACTACTCTCTATACTTGTACGCAGCTATACTTAACATATATATATAAGCTCAAGAAGATGCAAAATTTTCTCCCAACCTCCATCTATATATATGCACGACAATGGAAAAGGGGATGATGTAGTGCTTTGGTGTCCTCACCATGTCTTGACATTTGCTAAAAGCTAAGTGGCTAAAAATGATTAGTCATCTTATAAAGTCCCTTAAGGTGACACGTTAAGTTGCTTGAGGAAGAGGAAAATTTATTTCCTTTGGCTTAAGGAAAGCTACGTCTTTTGCAAAATAAAAGAAGAAAAAATTGATCCATAATTCCAATTGCTCACGGCTAATCATTCTTTAAGTGTGATTAATTAGTAATTAATCACTAGCTTATGCTTAATTAATTATTAAGCATATTACTTAATTATCAAAATTATTCCGAACGTAAACGGAATGTCGAAAATAATTTCGGGTAATCTCGACTGAAAATAATTAATTCCGAAAATTAATACTCGACAATATTAATATATCGGAACTAAAACATGATTTATATTAATAAACTGAAGGGATAATACAGATTGGCTAACACGTTTTCATGCAGATATCTGATTTCATGACCGGGAGATTACTCTTTATCTTCCGGGAGATGATCAGATCACGTTCTTCAGTACTAAGACTCGTTTCTTGCCTCATGTTATCTCTATGGCGAAAGCCAGGAAGTTATTGCGGCGAGGCAACTGTCAGGGTTATCTCGTCAGTCTTGTTGATGATTCTCCGAAGGCGCGAACACCTCACGACGTCCCTATTGTTCGTTACCTTGTGGACGTGTTTCTGGACGAGCTTCCAGGAGGACCGCCTAACCGGCAGGTAGAGTTCTCTATCGATCTTATTCCAGGAGCCGGCCCAGTTTCCAAAGCCCCTTATCGTATGGCACCGAAAGAATTGCAAGAGCTTAAGGCGCAAATTCAGGAATTATTATGACTCGGTTTCATTCGGCCAAGCGTGTCACCATGGGGAGCACCCATTCTTTTTGTCAAGAAGAAGGACGGATATATGCGCATGTGTATCGACTACCGGTATACCAATTGTAACACCCCGCTATTTCATGAAATTCAGAGCGCACTTTTCGCAAAAATTTTCTAAATAAAAACATTTATTTTGCGAAATACTGATTCGGGGTGCTACCGTAAAATCTGACTTTATCTGAAAACCGTTATTTTAATTTAATAAAAAACGGTTATAAAACATAGTACTCGACTGGTGTCGGATCAAAAGCTGGTTTGGTAAACTGAAATAGTAGCGGAAATCATAGTGTAGCCAAAACGATATATACACATATATACAAATGTCCTGAACCGGTCGCCAGCTCACTCCTCGACCCCGACCCTGTGACCTGAAAAACATGAATAATGTGGGGACGTGAGCACTAATCCACTGTGCTCCGCAGAAACTCATACTAAAGTAAACAGTGAAAATAATTGCAATATCATGATCCTAGCATATACATAACCTGAACATGAAACCGGTACTGAAATAATCCTAACCTGATAATCATCACATGACCGTTACCTCATCTGCCAGCATAAAAATGCCGGCCACAGCAGGCCGGCGGTCCGGCCAGACCGGGAGCTGACCGGTTCAGACCGGTTCAGCATAATATTTAATAATTTGAGTCCCGGTTTATATTCATGTCCAATTTCCAGTTAAATTCTGGGTCAGGTCCAGTTTAGTAAATTCATGTTAGTCCAGTTTCCTATTAAACCAGTTTCGGTTGTACCGGTTAAATCCAAATATCATGTCAAGTTCAGTAGAGCATCTTAACATATTAAACAGCTATTTTTATCAGTCTGAGCATAGTATTTAGTAAATGTTTATATTATGTTTCAGTTTGATCAGGCTACTACTATCAGCACTGCCTTTTCATTTTAAAGGATCAGGTGGGGACTCAGACTGGGTATTACATTGATTATAATTACGGTACCATGTTTGAGGTATGTATTATCATGTCATGTATCCGCTTGGAATGGTCGCCGGTCCATCCTGGGTTCTAGTGGCCCTAGTCTGCCCACTAGAGTGTGCACATGGTGTCCGACATTTTTATGCTGGCAGATGAGGTAACGGTCATGTGATGATTATCAGGTTATGATTATTTCAGTACCGGTTTCATGTTCAGGTTATGTATATGCCAGGATCATGATATTGCAATTATTTTCACTGTTTACTTCAGTATGAGTTTCTGTGGAGCACAGTGGATTAGTGCTCACGCCCCCACATTATTCATGTTTTTTAGGTCACAGGGTCGGGGCCTAGGAGTGAGCTGGCGACCGGTTCAGGACATTTGTATATATGTGTATATATCATTTTGGCTACACTATGATTTCCGCTACTATTTCAGTTTACCAAACCAGCTTTTGATCTGACACCAGTCGGGTACTATGTTTTATAACTGTTTGTTATTAAATTAAAATAATGGTTTTCAGATAAAGTCAGATTTTACGGTAGCACCCCGAATCAGTATTTCGCAAAATAAATGTTTTTATGAGGCAACTGTCAGGGTTCTCTTGTGAGCCTTGTCGATGATTCTCAGAAAGCACGAACACCTCACGACGTTCCAGTTGTTCGTGAGTTTGTGGACGTGTTTCCAGATGAACTTCCAGGAGGACCGCCTAACCGGCAGGTAGAGTTCTCTTTCGATCTCATTCCAGGAGCCTGCCCAGTATCCAAAGCCCCGTATCGAATGGCGCCGAAGGAGTTGCAGGAGCTTAAGGCGCAAATCCAGGAGTTATTACGACTCGGTTTCATTCGACCGAGCGTGTCACCTTGGGGAGCACCCGTTCTCTTTGTCAAGAAGAAGGACGGTTCAATGCGCATGTGTATCGACTAGCGGGATCTTAACCGGTTGACGATCAAGAACAAGTATCTGCTTCCCAGGATCAAAGATTTATTTGATCAGCTGAGGGGAGCCTGTGTCTTCTCAAAGATTAATTTGCGATCAGGCTACCACCAGCTGAAAATCATGGAGTCAGATATTGCTAAGACCACCTTCCGTACTCGTTACGGCCATTACGAGTTTGTCGTCATGCCATTTGGCCTCAGTAATGCTCCAGCGGTTTTCATGGACCTAATGAACCGTATTTTCCATCCCTACCTCGATCATTTCGTTATTGTTTTCATTGACGATATCCTTATCTACTCAAAGAGCCAGAAGGAGAACGAGGAACATCTGAGGGTTGTTCTCAAAACCCTCAGACGAGAAAAGTTATATGCAAAATTTTCCAAATGCGAATTCTGGCTCCTGCGAGTAGCCTTTCTTGGCCATGTCATTACTCAGGCAGGTATCGAGGTAGATCCTTCCAAGGTTTCAGCTGTTCAGAACTGGTCGACACCGAAGAGTCCGTCCGAGGTTCGCAGTTTTCTCGGTCTAGCTGGCTATTACCGCAGATTTATCGAGGGCTTTTCCAGGATTGCCCTCCCTTTATCCCAGCTGACGAGGAAGTCTGTGAAGTTCGAGTGGACTGACTGATGTGAGTCGAGCTTTCAGGAGCTCAAGAAGAGATTAACTTCAGCACCGGTGTTGACTATTCCCGATCCTTCTCGGAGTTTCACCAGTTTCAGCGATGCTTCGAGACAGGGATTGGGATGCGTACTCATGCAGGATGGCCAGGTCGTTGCTTATGCTTCACGTCAGCTCAAGCCACATGAACAGAACTATCCGACGCACGACTTGGAATTAGCCGCAGTTGTTCATGCTCTCAAGATCTGGCGACATTATCTATATGGCGGTCGATGCGAGAATTTCACAGATCATAAGAGCTTGCAATATATTTTCACTCAGAAAGAGCTCAACATAAGACAGCGCCGTTGTCTAGAGCTCGTCAAAGATTACGATTGCTCGATTCAGTACCATCTAGGAAAGGCGAACGTCATTGCGGACGCCCTAAGCCGTAAGGTGAGGGGTGACTTGACGTACGTCGTTACTCAGCAGAACCATTTGATTCAGGAATTCGCCTGGATATAGATTCAGGCAGTTGATGCACTTCCCACAGCCATTTCAGGAAGTGTCAGTGCTATGCAGATTCAGCCGACGCTGAGGGAGAGAATCCGGTGGGAGCAGGCTTCTGACGAGTTCGTTCGTGTCATGGATGCCAAAGTCCGCGCCGGAGACGTCGAGGATTTTCAGTGAGGTACCGATGGTGCCTTGGAATTCCGTGGCAGGATTGTGGTGCCGAAAGTCGAGGCGTTGCGGAAAGAGATATTGACGGAGGCTCAGGCCGCACCATATCTAGCCCATCCCGGAAGCAC